TCTGTGGAAAAATCATCAGGACCGTATTTAAAAAACAAAAGTTGCTGATGGTTCTACGAATACGAAACGTCGCATAAAAAAAATCGGTATCACCACGTTGAACGTCATCAAAAGTTGCTATGACAAAGTATTTTCAGATCTTCTGTATCTCTAATAATAACGGAGAAAAAAAATAAAATAGATATTTCAAAAATCCACTTTTTTCGATATAACCCAAAAACTAAAAATAATTTTGGAATTTTTCGAAGGCTCTTGATATGAGCCTCCGAATGCGCAACTTTTTCTTCATTTAACCGACTACGTATCTCCTACCGTTTTCGAGATCCCCATGCTGTTCAACCTTATCTTGGGCAGACTGTATAATAGTATATTACATAAAAAGTACGTAATTGCTTTACTCGAGAAATGTACTATAATCTTTGGAAGAAGTCTATGGTAACTCAAAGTGGAGTGGTGTGATTCATAGATGAGAAACCCAAAGTCATCTCCACAACTTTTATCAAAATAATCAAAGATCATTGAAGGTACATGTTTCGGGCCTATATAAGCCCATCATCAGCTGATAAGTAGACAAAGTTCATGTACCTATTCCTAAAAGTTGCTAATGCTATTCCTAAAAGTTGCTAAAGCTAGAACAACCCATGAGAATATAGGTATAATATGGTGCCACTGTTCGCTTGGTAAAAATTTTCTCAACACGTTCGCTGCCGGTCAACTACAATGACTGTCGTCTCACGCCGATCTCAATATATCGCTTAGAAGCAGGACTAGTCACTCAACAAAACTGCTGTGCCATAAATCAACTTACTTCTATTCTCTACTAATACATGTGAATGATAGAATTGCCTGTGACAGAATCAGGACTATCGATCAATTTCGATCACTGAATCAACTTTTCTGATATAATATTGAACAAGTGCACAGGTTTTTTTTTGAGTAGGTATGCCATCTTGATTAGTTTCAATACACATAATATAATATGTCGCTAACGAATTTCATCAGATAATGAATAGGTAATAATTTCTGACTTATCTCTGTCAGAGTTATACATATAACACACTCTTCTTCGCAGCTTCGAGCAAGACTTATATTATTAAATGATTCCATCCAAAGCAACTTGACCTGTTATGTCATATATTCGCCTTTTTTCTAAATAAAGTTCTCAAATCTGAGTATTCGGAAGCTATGATATATGAAAACGGCGTAATTCATTCGTTTCTTACTACTTCATAGCGACTTCATCCCAGGTAGCACATGGCGACTATACGACGTCTAAAAGACCTCATCACATTCGGCCGAAAAACGTCTTCAATAACATCAAAACTGACGCCTAAATGACGTAAGTAAGTCACAGCTCAATGACGTCACTTTTTAGATCCTTTGGACGTCAAAGTGGTCTTCAATTATGACTTGAAACTGACTTTGTCGACTAGTTTAGGACGTCATAGCGACGTCTTGTTCTCAAAAAGTAGACGTCATAGCGACGTCTATTTTTATGAAAAATATAGACCACATAGCGACGTATGTTTTTTGTATTGTAATAATAAGAAACACATAGAGTTTTCAAATGATATATATACATGAATGCAATGAAGGAAATGGCATAAGTTGTCACCGTGGCAATGGTTCGAAATATGTAGTTAATATAGGTATTCCTCGATTGAGTAGAAGCACCCATCAATCAACACTTTTTCGATTATTTTTTCAAATTGTATGGGTAGTAGTTGTTTGTAGTGCTCTGGTAGTTTATTGAATAATTCAACGTTTACAGTGTTTTTGGAAGACGTTGTTAGTCTGAGTCTCGGATTTTGTATCTTTTGACAATTTCTGGTATTATAAGAATGAACATTGCTAGGGCAGCTGAATTTTTGTAGATTTTTCCGTATATGAATTAGACATTGATAAATGTAAATTGATGGCAAACTCATAATATTGAATTGTTGGACATAAGGCCTGCACGACACTCTGGGCCCAACTCCGGCAATGATCCTGACAGCCCGTTTCTGATGTACAAAAGCTCTACTTGCGTGGGACGAGTTGCCCCACACTGTTGTACCATATGACAGGTGTGAATGGAAGAGAGAGAAATATGATATTTTCATTATATCCATATACTAACAGACTTCTTTAGTCTCCTTAACAGAAATATTTGACTGGTCAATCTTTTACAAAGCGAGTTTATATGCACTATCCATAGGTCGTAGAAGGCTTCGTTTGCGAGGTATGGGGGGTTAAAGTTTGAAATAAAAAATAATTCCTTTGAGTTGCTAGATAACCACTCATCAAAAAGTACCTGAGAGTGATTGAATCGGTAGCATTATTTAGTCCATCTGACTCCCAGCGGCACTGTGAAGGAGTATTGATATGTGATTTTTCAGAAAAAACATGGTTGGCCGTAAATTCTTTCGAAATTGAATACGAAAATATAAAAGAGGATGCAATGAAAAAAAGCACCAACTGTAGAAACTCGTTAAGGTACCTAAGTACGTACTGTTTTCGAGAAAAACGGTATAACCAAATTCAACTCCAAAATTTCATGTAGCTGTCGGATAGTCCATTTAAGACATCTGTTCAGATTACTCTATAACCATGATAGATATTATTTCCTATCTGCAGCACTATGCCATCACAAAAAGCCATACAGGGTGGACATTAGAAAAAAATATAAATATTTGAAACTTTGACGCCCGCCTGTATCTTACAAACGAAGGCTTCTACGACCTTTGTTTATGGGAACTCTTTTCGTTTTCTTGAGACGCCCTATCAATTCTTGATTTCAGATTTCAAATAACACTCAATCTACAGTGAGGAAAAACAAGTGTGGCCATTACTATAAATATAGTAACTACGGAAAAAAATTAGTACGATAGGGAAAGCAAGGTTATGTTGTTCCTTCAACTAATTTTGACTTCTTGGAAACACCTATTTGTACGAATTGGAAAGCTTAGTTGTTTCTTTCACTAGGTTTTTGCGGTTACTAATAGTCCTTAGTTAGGAATAGCACCATTCTATTAGTCACGATGTTCTCTGAACATTATAGGGATTCCCTTTCGTGCGCTTCAAGCGATAAAAAAATATAGTTATTGTAGCAGATTGATGGTATTTGCATCAAACGAATGAATTAGTTGTCCCAAAAAATGATGAAGTTATCATTACAAATAGTTTTTGTTACAATGAATAAATAATGAGTACCTACAAAATATAATATAGGGTTCCTGATTATATTCTTACCCCTTGTAGAGCCCTCATTATTAGACAAGGGAGAAAATATTTCAAACAAAAGATGTACGGTTTACTCACAATATTTCTTGAAGTCACCAGGAAAATCAAATTCGCATCGGATAGTGAAAAAAAATTCAAACTTCAATCTTCAAACAGAAACACCTTGTTGTGCTGAAATATATAAGATTTCACTGGTGATTTCAAAAGATGACACTAAGTTAAACCATCCACATTTCATCTAATTTGTTTTCTTCGAACTCTAGTAATGAAAGGAGTCTAGTAAGGGGTAGAAATAAAATCAATCACCTTGTTAGTTAATAAAAAAAATACATGACATATATATGAAGTCCAACTATACTCTGCTCTTGAATATATTTTTGTGCAAATGCTTCGCTGTGAATAAAATGTTTTATTAGTTGTGCAAATAGATAGCTGTTCATAGTAACCCTAGGATAAGAGTTCATCACCCCAACAAGAAACTTCAATTAATCGAATGGACAGCACTGAAATAATTGTGTCGTGAATAGTATTATTATCAATGACAAATAATGAGATGAGAATAGCAACGTTTTTTGTAGAAAATAGGGATATTTTGTTATTGTCAATAAAAATCTCAATATTTTTAATTATCTGTACTTGAGAAATTCCAACCAAGCGATTTAGTTAACCATGTTTAGTTACCTACCTAATGAATGGAAAAAATTCCATATACTTAGCTGCATCAAATGTCGTCTTGGTTTGCTCTATTCACCAAGTGACATATCTTATCAATCATCTTGGAATATACCCTAATAACACAATAACATCCGTAAGACGTCGTAGAAACATCCATATGGGATGATAGGAACATCTCTGGAAAATCCCTATTTTCCTTGGGACTGGGACATTCTTGGGATGTTGCTGGCAACACCCGTGTCAGCATTTGCGATGTCTTATAAACATCCCATCAGAATGTTTGTGGGATGATACGGGATGTACCAGAGACATTCAGGGTACTTGATATGGAACATCTTGAAGAAACTTTAAGGATGTTTTTTATTTGATGACAGTGATGGATGACACGGTATGAATTATTTTCATTCTGAAATCCTGAGAATGGCCGACCTATTTGCAGATATAAGGTAACAATCCGAATCCGAAAATATATAAGTTCTGTGCAGTGCAATAACCAATGGAAGATGATAACAGTTGTTTGAGGCTCATATTTGTTGGCGCTCGGCCGACGGCTGTTAGTAACTCTTAGCAACGTAGTTGTACCGCCATCTATCGGCTGGTACAACAAATAAATTCAGCAATGAATATGCTGAAGAGATATATTAAATTTTGTCGTTTATTACATGGTTCATGAAGTTAAGCAGGTACTTTGGTAATCTTATTGAGGAATATTTAGTATAATTATTTCAATTTGTTATCGATGAAATTAGCCAGCTTTGGTATAGGTATAAGTATATGAGTACGAATACAGTTTTGATTTCCGTTTTTTACCAACTTTCCAATATTTCAAATGTCACAATTGTTTGAACTGTTCAATCATGTCAATCATCATTAGCAAATATGGAACCATGATATTCTTTATAAAAAAAAGATCAAATGGAATGTTTCTAGAACATCCAATGAAAACATCTGATGGATGTCCCAAGAGAAACATCTCTGATGGGATATCGCACCTAAGTCTGAAACATTGGGACATTTGTAGGACCTTAGCGGGATGTACTAGCAAGATCCCGTGTTGTTAGGGTAGGCACCTACTTCGGATTCATAAACTCAAATTGTTTCAGGTTCATCAAAGGATTCATTACGAGAAACGACGAACCAACCGAGGACAACAAAAAATTCCTCAGCCTGGCGAAAGTCCAATGGCTCCATAGACTATCGAAAAACCTTCCCAAGGACATACTCCACAGGACACCTTGGCCGCCTTGCCCCCATGTTTGCAGGGACGCCTCCAGCTATCTGGAAACTATGTACGGCGCACACCTTTCCAGGAAATACCGTCTCCAGCTGACTCCAGAAAGAAAGCGACAATTTGAACTGAAAATTCTCGCTGAAAAGTTGTTCAAAGGTATAGTACTTGAATGTATCAGGTGACCCGTTATAAAGTACCACCTCCCATAAGTCGTTTATTTCTCACAATAGAAATGAAACGGAAACAGCCTTTTACCTTTGAGTCTATGAATTTCGAATAGAACACCCTTTATTTACCTCCTCACCATTGGTTAGGCCATTGGAAGAAGAAGCGCAATATTTCAAGGTACAATAACATTTGTTTTCTGTATCCTAGTATTGTATACATTTGGGAATTATTTATACTACAACATTTATCTGGTACTATACTTACAGATAGGTAGACTGATTGATAAATTTATAGATACATGCAATTGCAAGAATTTTACAAAAGGCGAGTGGACTGATTTTTTTTATTTCTTAAATAGAATAATCACTCAGATACCTTTCAATCTCATATTTTTAGGAATTTTTTGGACGATTTTTAGGTGCTTGAATCATCAATAATATCACGGTAATTTCCAAACGGCTAAAAATTTACCGCAAATTTTTTAGGAACTCTAGTTCACACTAGAGGACATTAGAATCGGTGAACGTGACAACCACGGCGCACGACTTGTGGACGTGGTCTTGTCAGTTCTCAGCATTCAGCACAATGTTGCCAAGTCTCCAACATTCACATGATGTGTTGTTATGGAGAATAAGAAATATTTGGACATGCTGGTTGCTCGAACAAGTCAAGAATGGACTATAACATCATGTGTTCCTCCTCAACATATTGTTGATAACTTAATTATAATTGGTGACTTGAAAACCTTGCTTCATGAGTGGAAATGCAAGACAGCATAAAAACTGGCGTCACCATTCATTCGACGTATCGCCAAGTGGCGGCCATTTAATATCATTTGTTCCTCCTATTATGTCTTATTCAACGATAGGACTCTTGCATTTTTTTGATAACTTGAATATTATTGGTGACTTGACAACCTTGCTTCGTGAGTGGGAATGGAAGATTATCTGACCAATAACGAAACAGCATAGAAGCTGACGTCACCATATGTATTCGACGTATCGCCAAATAGTGGCCATGACGGTACATTTGAAATGAGCTCCGAAATTCATTCATAATCAGTCCACTCGCCCATTGTCACCAATTGAAATCAGATAAATCACATTTTACAACAATCAAGTTAAATCAAATATTCGAACAACTAGTAAGGGGGGGCGTGTGTAGAAGAAACTCCTCAACTGCATGGAGAATATGCACCATCAATACAATTATAATATCATCACGGATCTTTTCTTGATATTCATATCAAGGTTATATGAGACCTCTTGTTCTTTAATTGTGGGGTGAAGCATCATAGAGCTTAGCAGTGCACAATGTATCTATATTAATCTTGGGTTTTCCTAATTCTGCGAGAAGGTGAACATTCTTCATGAATTGATAAAGGTAGATTGGTTTGTGGTGAGTTTTTTTTTTTGTTATCACTTGGAGCGCACGAAAGGGATAAGGAAACTCAATGATCAAATCCATAGTCGTAAATCGTACGTTGTACTCTTAAGAATTAAACTATTACGAGTATTACGATCAGCGCGTACGATTGATTTATTAAGACCTTCCTTTTATTCAAAACTGTAGGTATAATATTGATAATAGATTACTCGGTGAAATTGATAATTTTTCAAATAAAGGTTCTATTCTAGCAATCCTAAAATGTTGGAATTCTAATTGTCTTATCTTATTCCAAATAGCACTTTTGTTAAACGTTTGCACAAATCTTGAGTGTAGTTGCCGAAATCTAAGGTAGACACTTAAGAGTTTAACTGGTTCACTGCATATATATTTTGAGTTTTTGTTTGATCACGAGTAAGACAGTAGTTATCGCAAAATAAGTCTTTGGATATGATTTTAGTATGTTGCATCATCAGCATAGAAGACTGGTTTCAGAGGTTTAATAAAAAACTATCAATTTTTGAGAACTTCACCACCCTGTATCTCAAAAGTTAGGACGTTTAGGTCATACGTTCATATGAAACTTCCTTCTCAGAATGGGTCCAAGAATCACCTGCACCTCCTCCAATATTGACATTCAATTATGAAACACCCTGTATACTTCCTTTATATGTGTGCTCTTGCTTGTGATTTTCACTTATTCATTTTTCAATGTGATTGACCCCTATAATAAAAATGTAATCGATGATCAGTGACACTTTGTTTTGGAAGGAATCGGGGTATAGGTATATCGAAAAAATATCAAATTCAAATTAAAATTTTCTTCTTCTCTGTAACTCATTTGTTTGCATCAGCATATTTCACTGAAAAGTGTCAATATAGAAATGAGAAGACAATTCGAAAAGAATAATATTTTCCATTTTTTCATTCTTGTAATGTGTAGGGGGCGAAAATAGTACCTATATTGTTTAACGAGCACGGAATGATTGTGATTTCCCACGAGAATGAGGTTTGCAGCATGGGCCGTAGGAAATTAGCATTCTGTGCGAGTTATACACTATAATTTTTTTACGGCTGTAACAGATAACAGTGACATTTTTTATTTCTTCGTCTTGTAGCCATCTGATTTCCTCTCAAGTAATGCTCATCATCTATTAGACAAAGCTGTCATTGCTAACAGATACGGAAATAAAATTGATGACATACAAAGTACCTCATTGATGTTTCGAACACATAAAGAGATGATCAATTAATCGTTATAGAGGCGTAGAAAAAATATATTGTGCCCCGGGCGCCAAGTGGGCTTAATCAGGCCCTGGGTACAGTGGAAATAAGTATCTGTCGATCAATGAAAAAAACTGCCACACTGATTTTTCAGTTTTAGAAAAAAATTAGTTATAGGGTGATCGAATTTTATAACGTGTCACCCTCGTATCACCCGGTGAAGGGTCTCCATACAGAGGGTTCGTACATCTCATTCGTACGAAGGTTTCCTACACTCTCAGCACTCAACATCTTTGTTTTATCTTCAGTTTCCCAAATATCCATAACAACACCGGAATGTCCTAGGTACGTCCCTTTTATGTTCCGCGGTGCAAGGACATGATTGGGGCATCCAGGGGATGTCCGGCAGTGGTTTTCCAGTGGACATCCCGCCCGGTATATCCCCAGGTCATCCTATTCGTGTCCCTGGAATATCTGATATCCATTCACATCAGAGTCATTGAATTTCATCAAAATATTGAGTTGAATCTTTTTGAAAATGTTTGTTTTTCTTCCAGGAAATAATTGTAATGAAAATAAAGAATACAGTCTCAGAACTTCTTGAAAATACCATTCGTCGCAAACAGAAATCGTAAATGCATAATGCCCCTCATTTTTAAGCACCCAAGCATGATAATAATTATACATGAAATCCTAACAAAGTTGTATTTATCCAGGTTTCAGTTTTGTACTCTTCATAAATCGGTTTAGTCTAGAATCTTCAGAAGGCATATTAGCTAATGGAGTAAGGTGCGTGCCTGATAAGCTAAAGGTCCCGGGTTCAATCCCTACTCGACCTTTTTTTTTTTCTTTTGTCGGAGGGATGTCCTTGGAATATCCTTGGGACGTCCTAGGGATATCCTTTCTTCGTACTTGGTACATCCCAGAGACGTACCAGAAGGACATCCTTTGGATGTCTTTTTTATCGGAAAGTGGATGTCCCTGGGACGTTCGTAGTATGTACTTTGTCCCGACAAAGGATATCCCTGGGATATTGTAGTATAAAATTAGGGACGTCCTTGGGAAGTCACTAGGATTTACTTGTGTTGTTCAGAGGTTACATGTGGGAAACCTTGTAGTAGGAACAAGTTGTTAACGAAAGTAAACTCTGAACGATTTTTTAGGTAAAAAGAAGACTTACAATGGAAGTATTCCAAATCCATTTGTGTTCGACAGGGTAACTGATGCTAGTTTTACATTGAAAGAAATGTACTCGGCACAATTGAATGGTGACAAAGAAACTGTGAGTATTCAAGCAATAAAAATATAAGATGACAAGTTCCTATGAAAAATAGCACATATTCCTGAGGTCGAAATGAGCCGATTTAAAGTAACTTACCTTTGCCCGAAATTGCTCCATTTCCGAGATACAGTATAGTAGTGTAGTAAAGTTAAAGAATAAAAATCGAATTTTTCAAATTTTATGAGCATGTTCAAACAAGAACTAGTTTTGGTATTAAAATGGACGACTTTTGTGTGTCGGTTGCAGGAAAAATAGATTTTTCAAAATACTTTTTTGGAGTGTAGGTACTTGTCCGATTTTCATATTCAAATTTACCACCCTGTATCTCGGAAACGAAGCAATTTCAGACTGAGGTAAATTGCTTTGAATCGGCCTATTTTGATCTCAGGACATTATGTTGAGATTTCGTACAGACCTTTCAGGGATACCATCACACGGAGATATGAAAGATGCCGCTAAAAATCTTTTTTTTTAATAACTCTTGAAGTAATCAATTCAATTCAGTGGAAATTCAATACGAGGGACACTTGTAAGGATTCCTCGATATAGTGTCGTCGAAACATATTTAGCTTTCCTAATAAAAACGCCTCGAATATAATATCATAGTGAAAATTGAAACACGTGTTTTAGCAGTTTTTCGACATGCTAATCATATTTGTGTTTTTGTTTGCAAAACAAAGCCTGATATAACAGATTTCGTTGGATTTTAAATGAATGATATAAACTACTCAACTCATGAAACGTAAAATCGCATTTTTTCGATCAAATTGAATCATCATAACATTCGATTACCTCAACCAATTTTCAATTATTCTTCAGTTTCTGAAAGCTCGTTTCATTGACAATTCAATGTATGCATGAAAAATACCACAAACCGCGTGATTTTTTCATTATGACAGCGAAAAAAGTTTGCCCTAACTTTTTCAGCGACAATAACGGAACCTAACTTTTGAAAGCATGACAGTCAGCCATAAACAAAAAATGTTTGATGAATTAAATTGTCTTTCCGATTTACACTCTAGCTTTTTTTTAAGTCGAAGTAAACTTGGCATTTATAATTCGAATTTCGTTGCCATTAGGTAATTCAACTAAAAAAACTGCCAGCAAAAATAACTCCGGACGTAAATTTTTCAGAGGCAGAATGTTTCGTCAAATTGCCAGGCAAAAAAAAACTTATTGATATATGTCAAGTTTACTTCGACAAAAAAAAGCTCTCGTGTAATTATAAGTGACTATCGAACGTATGGATATGACTATTTCATCTTTTCCGGATGAGATTCTACAGGATGATAATCAAATCTATGCATTTTTCCAAAAATTTCAAACGCCTCCCGTTTGAAAGAAAATTTTTTCTATTTCTTTCTGAGGTCAAAAACATATTGTTCAATATGTTTTCTCGATACTGTAAGAAAATTTTTGTAATTGTCACAGGCGTTACTGAAATATGAATGTTTTATCAAGGTAATGCATAATTTGATGCTCTAATTTCTATTGGCTCTGTGTTCCTGTCAATCTGGTTCGGACGGTGGTAAAAATCTTGAAATGATGCATGATCAACCTATTCTTATATACAGGGTGGTCCAACTGCTTGTTAAGAATTCATGTGTTATTGAATTTTCATACTTTTCATGTTCACTTCAATGTTAAATTCAATTAAACGTGAGAGTGATGTGATTTGAACTGGTGTTATTGATGAAAAGTCATAAAACTGGAACATTGTGACTGTGATGGAATTCAATATGAAATTTTCACGTTTTTTCTGGGTCAGGACATAACATATCCATGTGACTCACGTCTGTCATTCTTTTGAATTTCGACAAATATTCAATACAAATCATTTGTGAAGACGTTCACCGAAAATGAAATCACATCCTGATACTCGTTAATCTACTGCAATTGTGATGAATCCTGTCAGTTACATATGAGGCCTGTTCGTTTGTGCTTGCTCTGCCTGCTGAAATTGATTTTTTTCTATGGCTTTCTCTGTTTACATCATGCCATAAACCGATACAACTATGGGGAAAGAATCAACTTCAGCAAGTTCAGCAATACAAACGAACAGGCCTATGGTATGTCTTGGCAGCAACTATTCTTATTTAGATGACATCCTGTATATTTCTTCAGTCTATCTCATTTTCCTTGAAATTATCTTCTAAAAATCTATCACAAAGTGAGAACGACGCTCTGAAAATCCGGTTCTTCTAACAATTCCAGTGTTTTGATCTTGCAATAGATTCTGTAGCAACTTGACATGGTGATGACAACCTCTCCTACATGCTTTGATCGCCAGAAAACTTCTCAATCGGTTTCCTGCTTCGAAATTTTCTTGATTTTTTTTATTACTTGATGTCAGAATTGCTGTTTGAGGACCACCCTGTATATAAGAATAGGTTGATCATCTCTTGTATATCTAAGCCCGAAGTTTTATAATCACTTACCAGAGAATTTGAAGTCAATAAGACCAATGAATTTATTCAAAAACAAATTGAAAGCATGGTTGCATACAAACCATAGAGAATATATACATAATCTGGTTGACCACTAATCAATTCGTTACTGATTCTATTCTCATTCATTATAACAATAAGAACAAACTATTTGAGTAGGTACCCCACAGAATCTAGTTGGATGAGCGGTCTCCACGTACAAGTTCTTCTTTTAGAGGAGAACTGCTTGTCTTTCAATATTCTAATTAATTATTATACTATACGCAGATACACTTATATTTATGAATAATTCTCTCTTTCAATTCGAAGTTTTGAATGCACATGCATCTACGAACAAGTCCTAAGACTTTTAGTAGATTATCAATATGCATTCACTGATGTTCAAACCTTGTTGTAGGTAATACTTATTGTATTTGTAATTGTTAATACTTATTGAAATTGTATTATATATATATATATATATATTGAATAAATATTATTATTATTATTATTATCTTAATAAAACATTCATATTTCAGTAACGCGTGTGACAATTCCAAAATTTTTTTACAGCATCGAGAAAACATATGAAGCAATATGTTTTTGACCCCAAAAAATGAAAGGAAAATTTTTATTTCAAACGGGAGCCGTGAGACACACTCTATAGAAATATACTGGCAAATTTTTAGGGGTGCTATTCATGGAACGTCCTATTCAGAACAGGATAGCGAAATTTTCTTCCCCCATTTTAACGAAACATTTTCATTAACAATTTCTTCACTTTTGTTTCAGTACTCGACAGATGTGATAAAATATGACAGGCATGGCTACAAACCAAGAGAACGAATCATGATGATAAGCAAGCAGAATCTGCATCTTTTAGAATGTAAAGGATCTTTGAAACAAAAACACTGCTTGCCACTGAAACGGTTGAACTTTGTTATAACTCCGGAAGATGACAAACTGTTGCTTGTTCAGATACCTGAAGACCTTGTGAAGAAAGATAAGGGAGACCTGATACTAGAGGTTCCAAATTTAATAGAAGCTATTACTATGATCGTCGATACTGTGCAGAATTCCGATATGTTGAGGATTATCGGCCAATCACAGTGAGTTATCATTTTATATGTTGAGTGATTCAAATTCGTTGCAAAATCAATTCTGTTTCAGTATTGAACATAACATGAAGGGCAAACATGGTACAATCGATATTCAACATGGAACCGTCCCTAGAATTCACAAAGATAAAAGTGGTCATCTTTTAATAGTAAGTTAGAGTATGAATATAAGCATCGAGTGCTGATTCAACACAATTTTTGATTTTCAGGTTGTATCTCGCTGATAATATGACAATCAATGTCTGGATTCGAGACTATATATATATAGTTAGTGTTTTCTATAATGTATAAGTGCCATTTGCTTTTATACTGATTTATCAAAACTATTAGGTATACATTATGCAAGATTGACTAATTTTAAATGTTTGATAATTTTATTTTATTTATGAAAAGGGTTACTTATATCAATAAAGTTTTTAACTTGTTGATTTGTTTTTCAATGGTTCCTTCCTTTATATTTTTTTCTATTTGGAAATATATTTTGAACGTTTGAAGAAAGCTAGCATATTCAGAAGTAAAGCACTTTCTTCAGCTTATATGTAATTACTGAACTCTCGATTTTTTGCTTTATTCCCTTATAAAATTGATATTACAATAGCATGACCACAGAACTCAAGGTCTATGAGTTCTGTGAGCATGACATATTTTTATATATTTCTGACAATAGGCCTTTTCACATAGATATATTTTTAGGACGCATGCGCTTGTTTTCAGATCCAAAATTTGATTGGGTAATGCGAAGGTGAAGTCCCATTGGCTACAGTTCCGACACAAAATTGTGATCGGCCATTTAGAATATGGCGGTTTTTATTGACGTTCTGTCAAATGTCAACAATGTCAACCACCATGAGCATTCATCATTGAGAAACAACAATAACAATATAGTATTTTCGTTTCTATATTCCTGGGTGTGTATCAATTGTATTTTATTAATTTAAATCGAAAAAACGCTACCTAAAAAACTGGAAGTTTCCAGTCTGACCTCTGAAAAGTTTTCACCAAATTTGTACGGCAGCATGGTTGTTTGAAACACTCGCAGATCACTGATGAAACGTGACTTACAGTCACAGAACATGCCATGCCAAAAATTATGAAAATCGATCTCAGCCTACTCCTTTTATGAGCAAAATTATTTTTTTCCAAAAAAACTTCAACGCCTTGTACCAACTCAACGAGACGATTTTGGATATAGGTAAGTTGGCCTAAATCGACTTGTTTTTATCCCAGGAGTCCACAGCCGAGCCATGTCCCAACCTTTTACAAGTCACCTTGTATACAAGGTGACCCAGGGTGAAACTGCCAAACGTTAAGGGTCGGTTATTTGGGCAAAAATGAGACTTTTTTTCTAATGAACATATGTCCTAACTTGCTTTGTTTTCGATATACAAGGTGTCAAAGTTTTCAGAAAAAATCGGTTCTTCATTAATTACGGCTTGAACTTACGGCAGATTTCGATGAAACTTGGTATGCTTATTTGCGGTGAAACGGAGCTCCATTTGATGTAATCCGAATCAAATTATTTCCATTGGTGTCCCAGAAAGTAATCAAAATGATGTAAGGATATTTTTGTTTATTATTTATATTATTTTATTTTATTAGGAAACTGATAACGTAATAGAGGGTAATCTAACTGGTATTAGGACAAGTCATTGTATGACTTTTTTTTTGTATGTTCAATATTGTTTCATTAGATTGAGCAATCAGAAATATTTCTTCGTCTCCTGTTTTCTTATACCACGATTCTTTTGTGAGAAAAAAAAATGAAAACCATTTCCTAGAATTCAACAGGAAAAAGCACATTTCAACAAAAATCAGATCAAAGGTAGCCGCGAGCACAATTTCGCCAATGATTGGGGGTTTGTTTGTATCAAATTACAATGGTAATACGCGCGCTTCAGTAGCGGAATATGCCCGTAGATTCCCTCTAAGAAGAGTGCCTGACAGATCAGTTTTCGCCACTACTTTTCAACGTCTGAGAGAAACAGGTTCAACCGTATTGCGAACTCGAGCAGATGGAATTTTTGCACTTGCTCTTCAAAATGAAAGAAGAACACAAAACATCTTAGAGTTTTTCGAAGAAATGCCTTCCAGTAGCACGCGAAGATCTTCTCTTCAATTAGGATATAAACGGAGCACTGTGAACAGGACTTTGAAAGCAGATGGTCGTCATGCATATCACCTGCAGAAAGTTCAAAATTTGTTACCTGATGATTTCCAACGAAGAAGAGAATTTTCCGAGAGATTCCTGGGGCAAATAATGAATTATGCTTAATTCCTTCTCCCGGAGGGTTATATATGGACTGACGAAGCAACTTTCACCCGGGCTGGTATCTTCAATCAACATAATACTCACATTTGGGCGAACGAAAATCCTCGTGCAATAAAAGTCCATAAATTTCAACATGAATTTTCATGCATCGTTTGGATGGCATTATGCGACAACTCACTCATTGGCCCATATTTTCTACCTCCGCGACTTAATGGTCTAGCATTCCTCAATTTCTTGGAAAACGATTTTGAACCAGTCTTAGATGACATGGCTATAATCAATAGAGCAAACAGATGGTTCCAGGTGAACGGATGCCCTGCTCATTATATTCTACCTGTACGACGATGACTGCACCATTATTTTCCGGGAAGATGGATAGGTCGAGGTCAAGACAGTCCCTTTTCTTGGCCTTCGCGCTCTCCTGACTTAACCCCTTTGGATTTTTTTGTATGGGGTACAATGAAATCCAAAGTTTATGAGGAGCCCATCAACGACGAAGGTACTCTGCGGGAAAGGATCATTCATGCAGCCCGAGAGATTACACCAGCAGAGTGCCGTGCAGCTGCAGAATCAGTCGTCCGTAGGTGCGAACTTTGCATCGATAAAGATGGTGGTCATTTTGAGCAGTTCATGTGATTCTTGGACGTTATCAGTTTCCTAATAAAATAAAATAATAAAACAAAAATATCCTTATATCATTTTGATTACTTCCTGGGACGCCAATGGAAATAATTTAATTCGGATTACATCAAATGGAGCTCCGTTTCACCGCAAATAAGCATACCAAGTTTCATCGAAATCTGCCGTAAGTTCAAGCCGTAATTAATGAAGAACCGATTTTTTCTGAAAACTTTGACACCTTGTATATCGAAAACAAAGCAAGTTAGGACATATGTTCATTAGAAAAAAAACCTTATTTTGGCCCAAATAACCGACCCTTAACGTTTGGCGGTTTAACCCTGGGTCACCCATATGTGATATATATTTGGGAAAAAAGTACTCACTTTTTTCCCACGGGAAAAAATTGAATAATGAAAAGTGACATTTTATAACCTGCCAACAGAGATGAAAAGCCAAACTTTTTCCCTGTCACAGAAAAATAGTTTTTTTTTTCATTTCTTGGCGATTATAACCCTGAAGGACTAGTTTAAAAAAAAACCCCTTTCAGAACGTTTTTAAAGTAGACTAAATTTGCTACAATATGATATAGAAACTGTCTCTGTAGACTCATTAGTTTCCGAGATTGAGCATTTCAAAGTTTATCATTTTTTCCGAACTTCGCAATTTTTTGCAATCTTGTCGTTCTGATTGAATTTTGACCCTGATCATACATTCGAAGCCCTGTACTTTCATGATGAGATGATAAGAAACAAAATGAGGAGTGTGAATGAGGATGTTTAAGCTGAGCTACGAATAATGGAAAAAAAAGATAAGTACAACAAAAAATAATGAGTTTATTTGTTAGGAAATAGAGTAATATTAAAGATCAAAAAATTTAATTAATTTAGCCCTCTTGGAAGGTCCCGGTTGAGGTTCGTCTGGATCTGGATCAACGTATTGGGATGGCATCTAACAATCTAACGACCTGTAAAATCATTTCGAAATGACGTCTGGTAGGCAAACAAACAAGTGACTCGTTTGTTTACTTGAGGACTTCGTGGATTTTGGAAACCTTTTAGAGTATTATTTTATTCAGTTTTGGTTAGATAAATTGTGAATAATGAAAACTCAATATGATTTTGAAGGAAAAATATGGGTAACGTGTATTAATTGTGGTGGATAGTGGAAGCATACTGTGATTCTGTTAAAAACTCTGTGCATTATCCACAAATAAAAGATCTATCAAGAATAAGATGAGAAATGTGGATAGCAGCCATCAAGAGAAAGAATCTAACAACAGAATCAATCATGAGAAACCAAAGGATGTGTAGCAGGTACCTGAGAGAAAACCAATACTTATTATATATGTGATGGCCCTACAACCAGGCGCCATCTTGCCAGCTAAAAAGTCCCGTGGTTTCGATTGCCTAAAAAGTTTGAAATCGTGCTACAGGTGGGTCGCATTCGTGACTTCACACGAACAGTACTAGCACACTCCGTCGGAGGTAATTGAAACTTCATCCCGCTAGAGTATATTCGAGTGACGCCTAAAACCAACTGTGCTAAAACATTGCAAAAAATTGCAAAGTTCGAAAAAAACTATAAACTTTGAAAAGCTTAATCTCGAAAACTATTGGGTCTACAGAGACAGTTTTTGAATCATATTGTAGCAAATCTGATCTGCTTCAAAAACGTCCTGAAAGATTTTTTTCCAAAAACTAGTCCTTCAGGGTTATAATCGCCAAAATTTGAAAAATTACGATTTTTTCGCGGTTTTTTCGATTTTTGACAAAGTTGCGTTCGGTGCTCGAGGTCACAAACTTGGATCATTCATTAGGCCAACATCATGAACAAGTCTGCAAAAAATCAGAACTACCGGATTTGACGCATACTATATATACAGGGTGTTTCATAATTGAATGTCAATATTCGAGGAGGCGATTCTTGGGCTCATTCTAAGAAGAAAGTTTTATATGAACGTATGACCTAAACGTCCCAACTTTTGAGATACAGGGTGGTAAAATTCTCGAAAATTAATATAGCCTACTACAATGAGAAGTTATAATTCGAAAATACCAAATACGAATACAAAGTTCATGAACTATGAATTGTATTTCTGAAATTTGATCTTAAAAATAAAAACTATTTCTCTGCATTGTGCATGATATTGCCATATTAACAATATTACTATAATCATGTAGTGAAAAGCTTTTTATTTTTAAGCGAAAACCGTGCATCAGATTGAAAAAATTGTAGTGATCAAATTTGCTTAGAAATGATCGGGAATTTCAGGAATGATTTCAATTTGGAGATTAATCAGTGGCGTACCATCAATGTCTGCCAAAATAGGTATGT